TGACAGAGAGTGACTTAATTGTTCGTTCCTTGATGATTCCACAGCAAAAAAGTAACGAATATGCAAGTTAGATAATTTCGCTCTCGACCTCTCGTAAAATCATAGTCCATAGGGGAAGTGGGATATAGATGTGCGGTAGCCCACTTAGAATGTGCCCAATTTTGCGCGTTTGCTTGCATCACGACGGGAAGACTAAGCAAGCTGCGACACGTGGGCTAATGACAGATTGGGTGCAGCACGATGTGGGGCCCGCTTAAGCTGTCGTCCGCACATTGGTCGGTCCCACCTGCAGTATCATATTAGTGTTTCATTGAATTCCATCAATGAATGGCTTCGCTTCTGGTACAAGCTGTGAGCCGCGTTCTAATTCATTGACCTATTCCCCTCGATCCGTCACCTTCTCGTTTACTTCTTATTCATTCTTTTCTTTTTAATATTTTTTATACATTAAAAAAACTGTTACATAAATAAATTTATTAAAAAATTCAGTAAGACTCTAATTTTATCTGTATTAATAATTATATGAAACCTCACTAGCAATTTACGATATCTCTGTTAAAAGTAAAGGTTAAAATAAAAAATCATTCGATATTTTTACATAATACCTTATAATTTGGATCAAAATAATAATCTAGAAAGCACCTTATATTAAAGAATTGGAGAAAGTAATGAACATGCATTATGCTGAATTCGACTTTTTTTACTACAAGTTCAATCCTTTTTTTTCAAATTTAAAAGGAAATTCAATTATATGGGATGATTTTTTTGTTTTTTTAAGACGAAACTATTAGGTGAACTAGTTTTTAGCCCATGCCATGCATGGGACATTGAGCGACTAAAAAAATAAATAAAAAAAATGTTTTTTTATTAACAAATAATTTTCCCTAGCAAATCATAAAAAATAAAAAAATTATATTATCAATTAATTTGTGTGCATGCCATGTCAGATTCTAGCTAATTAGGAAAAATTTAATGAAATTTAATGTAATTATACAAATTTATTTTCATTAACTTATATTTCAAAAGGCAAAACAACAATTAAAAAAAGAATAAAGGCAACAGAAAAAAGTGACCCAAGCCTTAAACTCAAGATGAATTGCACCGCCATAAAATTTACATTAGTGTCAATGAACTCACAACACACTCAATTAACAAAAGATTAGCTTAGATATTTTTTCACTATAGTTCTATGGTGAATATAGATGAGATATACAAGAAAGGAAGAAAGATTGAATTAATTAAGTCCTAATTCGGTCTTTTTTATAAGACCATGTTAATTTTTCAAAATTACATTTAATCAAATTAAAGATTTTTTTTTTAATCAAACTACCAAGTAGTCAGTTTTTATGTGGAACCCTAACTAATTTTGGGTCAAGTCTGAAAAGAAGTTGCATATTCAAGATTTAAAATTGAGACTACTGGTTAAACTAAAATAGCCCCTATCACCCGAGTTATGTTAGTAATTAAATCTATTATTGAATTAAAAAAGATAATCAGATAAGGACAATTTTAAAAATTACATAAATTTTTCATTAAATCATATAAAGGGCCTTGTATTAATCACTTATGTTAGGGTTTAATAAACAAGAACAAAGGAGTATAAACTAAATTCTTATCAACGAAATTAACTTTCATGCTTGAACGATAAATTAATAAGCTAATTGTAATTTAGTCCAAAATATTCTTCGAAATAAAAATTGATTGAAAAATCAATAAATTAATAGTGCAAAACATGATGTAACTTATTCGTATAAAACATGGAGCCGCTCACTTCTCAAATGATAATAATAATTAACTAATTAAATGGTTGAATGTTATGGCGAGAAATTTTTGCCTGAACCCAGTGAAAAATGTCATCTATGCTCTGTTGGATAAAATTGTTCCACTTCAATGAAATAAAATCTTATGCGTTATTATTTTTAATAATTTTATTTTTGGGATAATGCTTCTTTTTAATTTTTTGCCTTTTCTTTTTTTATCATCATTAATGATATGATCAATTTATATTTATAATTATATAACTTGTTATGTTTTTATTGAAAAGAGCATCAATGATGCAGTACGCGGAATTTATATAAGAATTTTTCTACTATAGATCTTAGGCTTTTTTAATTTTCACATTAGTTTAACCAAGTTCTATTTTTTTTTTAGCTTAACAGTTGTAGTCAATTAATCCATCTTCACTTTATGTGTATGGAAGGGATAATAATTTACAAGCTCCCACCGAAAATAATTGGTCAAAAAAATCACACCTAAAAAATATTGATGGAATGGAAGCTAATACGAGTTGTGCGCCCCACTAGTTAAGGGTGTTTAAAACCGATCCAAACCGAAAGGACCGATCCAAACCAATCCAAACCGAAAGAAACCAATCAAAACTAAACAATAATCAAGTCTACTTTAGTTTTTATGACATAGAAACCGATTGGTTCGGTTCAAGTTCGGTTTTGAGTACTAGAAACCGAACCAAATCGAGTCAAACCTGATTAAAAAATACTATTTATTTATTTATAAAATATATAACCATTTATCTACAAGAAACATTTTCTTTTGACTTTTTTATAGTAATAAATAAATATTTTTAAAATATTTGAGTGAAAATGCATAATATTAAATAATTATAATAATCATGCTATAATCATCATTTAATTATTTACAACCTAAAAGCATTTTGTTTTGAATTTTGTATAATAAGTTTTTCATTATTTATTAAAATATAGATACATAGATAAACATTTTCAAAGGATTTGAATGGAAATGCATAATATTAAATAATTTTAATCTTAAAAACTTATATCAATTTTTATAATTAATTATTGTTATCACATTGAAATTTTATTATATTTTTATACCTCTATTTATGAAAAAAAAGGAGTCAAAAAGAATTAAATTTAATTTTAATACATAGTACCATTATGAAAATGGAAAAAAGGAAAAAAAAATTAAATAAGTGCATTAAAGCTTGATCCAAACCTTAACCAAACCGAACCAAATTAAAAATAAAATCGAACCAAACCGAACTTTTTAAAAACCGATCAGGTCTCAATTATCAGTAAACCGAATGGTTCGATTTGGTTTGGTTTTTGTCCAAAAACCAAACCAAATCGAACCTATGAACACCCCTACCACTAGCCTTTTTGGCGCACAATAAATAATATTAAAATATAAATTATGTTCACTCTATATAAATTATTTTACTTGGAATTGTAATATTACTTAATGCCAAGTTCTGATCTGGAATTCATATTGTAAAAATCTTGAACTCAATTTGGATAAAATATAAAGCACATACTTATAATTTTATTTATAAATTATTTTTAATTTATTTCACCAATACTAAAAAAACTTTAAATTTTATTATCTTGATCTAATAATTTAATAAATTTTTAATTTTTTCTATTAGATATACACGTTTTAAAAAATAAAATAATATAATATTTGATAATATTTCTAACATTTAATAAAGACAAAAGGGTGAAGATAAACATAATATTTATTGAAGAACCTTATAATTTAAAAAAATCAAAATAAATACTCTTTTTTCCTATAAATGTCACAAAAGGATTATTAGTTTTAGATAATTTTATTTCAATAGTTAGTATTTTTAAAAAATTAGAATTTTTAATAATTAAAAATATTGACACTTTTTTTTATAATCGAACTTATTAAAAGTCAAGACATACTTCTAAACTTAAATAATACTTACAAAGATATTTATAAATTACTTATTAATGAAATCTCTACATTGATAATGAAATTTAATTTCACAATCTTATAAATCATGACTCAAGTTCTTTACTACTACAACCATCAATTTTGTTGTAAACGTACGGAGTGCATGGAATTGCCTAGCTACGTGCACTCTTTCTTATTGGATTCTTTCCTTTGTGTTTCATTGCATTTGTCATTGACTCCTTCTTTTGGATCAATTCGTCATTCACCCTTGAGTAAAACAGAAGGTAACATTGAGTTATTGTCAGACGAATATATTTTATTTTTTTAAAAATATTTAACAAATAAGCTGTATTTTATTAGTTACTTTTAAATAACACCACTTGTTAAAATTTTTGTATACTTGTATTTTATATTGATTTATATATTAAGATAAATTATATAAACTTTTGGCTAGTTTTTATTAAAATTACATGAGCTGATGCACCCATTTTATTTTTTAAATTGATATAAAATAATTTAAATTTGACTGAAATTACATAGATCTTGATCAATTCTTACAAATCCGCACAAATCTATCTCTAAACATCTCTAACCAAAGGCCAAAGCTTAAGAATAAAATTGATTTCAACAAAGTTCAAAAGTCAAAGAGGTTTGCGTAATTTGTTTAATTTTTTTAAACTAAAATTTTGAGTTACTGAAAAATTATTGATTTTTCTAAATTTTATATTCTTTTGAAAATTTGACCGCTCAAATAAGAATTAAGTTTAGAAATTCTCTACCAACAAATAAAAAACAAATCTGAATGCATGCTGGATGTTTAGAGGTGTACCACACCACACCCGCGTAATTGATATTATTAATAATTAATAATAAAAATACCAGTTGGGATTATAATAATCATTATTGATCATTTAATATATTACAAAAAATAGGAATATGACTATTTATTATTTATTTATCAATTTTTTAAAAATATATGGATACTGGATGTTTTGGTTAATTTATATAGTTATTTGATTGTAAAAATTGCTATACATTGTTTTTATTTAGATAATTAAGACAGCGTCCAATTTAATTTCCACTTGACTGTCTGAGGCCGAGCCTCGGCTTCAAGCCGATTTGCCAACTTGTTCGCACTAATTTTATTATAATAATTAAAGTATTAGTTAATTAATTAATAAAAAATAAAAGCGCGTAATAAATGAACACTACTTCACTTTGTTCTGGTACAAAAATTTCAGTTAAAGTCTTTTTTCTAATTTCATCAATTAATTAATCATCGCATTAAAAATAGAAAACACATCTCATAATAACATTTAATATAAATGTGGGAAACCAGGAAAAGCCAGCCCGAAAAGGTTTGCTTTGTGTGTTGTGTGTTCACAGTGCCTCTCTCTCTCTCTCTCTCCCCCTCTCTCTCTCTGGCAAATCTCACGCAGAACCGGAGAACAACCCTCTTCTCAAGGCATTTATCCGGCAGAGCTCGCCGGAAGTTCAGCAACAAGGCAGCTGCAATGTGGAGTTCACGCGCTCTCTCTCCTCTGCTTACTCTGTTTATTCTTCACTCGGTGGCAGCTCTGGTCTCTGCTCAGGGATCTACAAGAACCTCCTGGAAGACACTAAGCGGTATGTGCGTTGTTTTTGCTTGGATTTTGGTACTGTTTTTCTTCCCGATCACCACGATGTTCTGGCTGTTTCTGCTTGAATGCGTGGGTAATGCACGAAGAGTAGGTGAGATTGAGCTCGCCGTGTGTTTGTGCTTGCTCATTTCCATTTACGGTTATCGGTTTAGGGGGAATGACAGGTTCTGAACTGAATAAGTATTACTTTCTTCTTGGTACTGTGATTGGTGGGGTTGATTAAGCAGTGTTGGGTGGAAATTTGTCTATACTTGGCTACCAAACAGAAGATCTTCGCATTTTTTGCTCGTGAACTTCGATGATTTTTGTTTGGGAAGGGAAATTTTGTGGGGATGAGTTGGAATTTTGCACATTTAACGAATTAAGCAGGCCTTTGTGTGGGCTGTCCTGTGCCACTAGCAAGAAGTTTTTATTGCGCAAAAAAAGGATTGATGTTTTTTCTGTTGAGTAGAAAAATCATATTCGGAACCTTGACCTGAAGAATAATGCTTTAGAGATGATTTAAAGATTTCCGCACTAAGTCAACTTTTTGATGTTGGTTTTACTGGGTTCAACTTTTGTCCGGTGTGATTACATATTTCGTGTAATGATAGAAATATGACGAGGGGAACAAAACTAAAAGTTTGGAAGTTCCTAACAGAAGTTCGTTATTTATAAATAGAAATTTCTTTCTGGGTAATTAATGGACTAATTTTATTTTGCAATTTCAATTTGTTGGGCTATTTAGTAAAAGTGGAGAGGCATTGACCTATCAAAGTCTGTTGTTATTTTCAGTTTTAGACACCATGAGGCATTGTGTTTACAAGCGTCTGTACTTATATGAATCATTATCTCTCTTTCCATGATTTAATTTTGCCTTCTTTTATTAAAGGATGAAGTGAAGCTCAATCATCCGTTTGTTTTGCAGGAGATGCACCGTTAGTCATAGCACGTGGGGGATTTTCAGGGATATTTCCTGATTCCAGCCTAGCTGCTTACAATTTGGCTCTAATAACCAGCGTACCAAATGTCATTTCATGGTGTGATGTGCAATTAACAAAAGACAGTGCTGGGATTTGTCTTCCAGATATCAAACTTGACAATGCTTCCGATATTTCTGGCGTTTTTCAAAATAAATCCACCACTTACTTAGTTAACGGTGTACCAACCCGTGGATATTTTTCAGTGGATTACACAATAAAGGATCTATCTCAAGTTGTTTGTAAGTTTAAACTTATCTTAAATGTACTGCTTAAGCTTTTTATAATTCTTATACGGAGGATGGAAGCAAAAGAATAAATTTAGGGAAGACTATTAGAGTTAGAATATCTAGGGTTCTTTGGCTTCAAAGCTAGGGAATAATTCTTTTATCTAGGAACTAATCAATCTCTTAGATACTTGACATTATCCATTATCTAAAACTGTCTTAATTTGTTTTTGATTCTACCATACGGGTATTTTGGAGTCAGTTTTCTAGTTATCCTGTAGTATAGAAATAGGACATCAGATTTGTGTGCAGGCCTAAATAGAATTCCTCATTATCAAATTCCAGAAACAATGATTTGTATTTGAGTGGAAGAAACTGAGGCAAAACACCTCCTAATTATCAATGCAAGCAGGCCTTTCTAAATTAAAGATTTGTAATCTAATAATCATATGAGCATTAGCATTAGACCATGTTTCAAAACACTGGGGATTTTTTCCTTTGTTGGAATTTCATCCTTTTGAAAGCTAAGTTATAGTTCCTGTCTCATTTAGTCAGTCCTCTATTTTCTTTGTTTTTTTTTTCAATTTAAAATAGGAAACTGGTTTTAAGCAAACCTTTGAAGTTTGAATTATTACTGGTTATCAAGGCAACCCACTCATGCAATTTTGGTGGAAGCATGAGTGTAATCCTTGTCTTGAATTACAATTATAAATGGCTATTGTTTCTAAGTTAATCCACTGTCAAGTTTCAATGGGGATGATATATTCTAAGACTAGATAGCAACTAAAGTTTTTGGGACCCTTATATCAGAGTCGTGTTCTTATTCTCTTCTCATTACAATTAAAGTGTGAGACTTGGTCCTTGACTTATTATTGTTACCACCAAGCCATGAGCCTTCCCCATCAAGGGTAATGTGCAATTGCTATATGGATGCCAAGGACAGTTAGAAGGTGAAATCTTGCTTACAGTAGTAAATAATCAAATGGCGACATGCAAGCTTGTTTTCCGCATTTTAATGAGAGAGTGTATCCTTTTCAATAAGTTGTTGACATACCATGTATAATTACTGGAAATATCTTGGTTTGACTAATCATTCATGATTAAACTTATGGCTTGACTGTTGCTTATGAGTTTTGCATCATTTTTATAAATGCTGATGCTTTGTTGTTACTTGTTACTGAACAGTGAGTCAGGGAGTCTACTCTCGAACTAACAAGTTTGACGGTAATGCATTTCCAATTTTTACTGTTGAGGAGTTCGTTAAACAAGTTGCCCCGCCAGTCTTGTGGTTGAACATTCAGGTAAATGGAAGGCACATTTCTATTGTCATTATTCTGTCGTTGTTTATTTCTAACCCAATTCTTGTTTTCTTTCATATATTGCAGCATGATATTTTCTACTCAAAACACAATTTGAGTATGAGAAATTTCGTACTTTCTGTTTCTAGAAAAGTAATCGTCAAGTATATCTCATCACCTGAGGTTGGTTTCCTGAGAGGTATAGCAGCACGCTTTAACCCAAACATAACTAAACTGATCTTCAGATTTATGGAACAAGATGACACAGAACCATCAACCAATCAGACTTATGGAACGCTTGGAAAAAATCTTACATTTATCAAGACATTTGCATCTGGAATTATGGTTCCCAAGATTTACATATGGCCTGTAGATGCTAGTTCTTATCTACAGCCACAGACAACTTTGGTCTTGGATGCTCACAAAGCAGGACTAGAAGTTTTTGCATCAGATTTTACTAATGACGTTCCAATTAGCTATAATTACAGTTATGATCCTCTTGCTGAGTACCTCCAGTTCATTGATAATGGTGACTTCTCTGTTGATGGTGTGCTGTCTGACTTTCCTATAACTCCATCTGAAGCTGTAGGTAAGTTCTGTTTTATTTTTGAGTTAGAATGGCCCCTTATTAATAAGAAGCATTTGCTCTCTCTCTTTTCTTTTATTTTCTTCTTTTTTTTTAAATCCTGTTGATGTTGGTTTTATACTTAATCATATATTTGTACAATGAAATGGTGTTTTTATGTGGTCAAAATGATCTTTCAAAAGAAATTTTCCTAATGTCTTGACCTTATGCTTGTAACAATGTAGCGTTGCATTGCATGTACGTCCCCTGCATAATGAACATTCTTTTCCCATCAATATTCAGTCAATATGGAGCATATAAAGATTTTGAATCCCAAAATTCTGCCATTGGATTTAGAAGTGAGTCAAATTAATCTCTAAAACACATTGAGTATTCGTGAAATTAAGGATTCCTTGGCAAGCTTGTTTGCTTTCCAAACTAGACTTTTTTTTTTTTTTTAAAAGTCAATTTTAGCATGCTCTAACATCTTGAAAAATTAAGTGTCTGGTATTATCAATATTCATATTCTATGTACTTGACCAATTGTAAACTTAGAATATGTGTTTGCATTTGTTCTTTGTATTTTTCTTTGCATTCAAGTATAGCAGAACTTTTGGTTGCTGATGTGAACGGGATTGCCTTGGATGTATCTGATTCTCTTAAATTGCAGGTTGCTTTGCTCACCTAAGTGCAAATGCTGCGAAAACAGGTGCTTCACTGTTTTCTTGTGCTTTATTGAAATATTTTCCAAATGCTTTCATTGTGTAATTTCTTTTGCAGTGTAGCTTGAGTTATTGTTGACTTTTTTCTGTCTTTTTTTTTTTTTTCAGTTAACATTTCGGTTATCTCAAAATATGGGGCAAGCGGAGACTATCCTCCCTGTACTGACATGGCATACAACAAGGCCATATCAGATGGTGTGGATGTTCTTGATTGTCCTGTTCAATTGTCACAAGATGGAGTACCATTTTGCCTAAGCTCCATAGATCTCATAGAGAGCTCAACAGTTGCTCAATCAAGTTTCAGCAGACTTGCCACATCTATTCCTGAGATCAAGTCTGGCAGTGGCATATTTTCATTCAGTTTGAAATCAGCTGACATTAGTACCTTGACCCGTAAGTCAAAAAGTTCCATGTTAGTTGTTCTTGTTTGGAGTCCGGTATTTATCTCCAGCTTTCCCTTACCCCAAAAAAAGAAAACAAAGAAGGAAGGAAAGTTCCTTTCCTTTACGTCATGGAGCCTCTCAGCAAATGGTTTATAATTCAAATAAGCTTAAACTATACAGTGTTAAGGATATGCACAGCATGGCAAATCATGTATCTTGCATAACTGGGAACATGACCTTGCTACTTAATCAGTTACATTAGTGGGTGATATATTGCATGAAATGATGTATATTTCTTTTTATCGTTTATAATGTACTATATCCATCTTGACATAAATTTCTGCCTTTTGCCATTCTAGGTTCTGTTACTGAAAAGATGCTTCTCATGAAATATATTTTTTTATTCATTTTTCTGTCTGATATATAAATTATACAAAAAAATTTGGCATTTGTGTGTTTATGTTCTCCATTTTTCCTGCAGCCTCAATATTGAATCCATATGCAAAATACACATTGTTCAGGAGTCCAAAATCTAAGAACGTTGGGAAGTTTATGAAATTATCAGATTTCTTGTCCTTGGCAAAAAATCAGACTTCTCTGTCTGGTGTCTTGATCACTGTTGAGGTGACTTCTGCCTTGCCTATGCTACTGCTGTTCATAATACATTTCATAAGTTATAAATGGTATAAGCATATAATCTGAATGTAATTGAAGAGTAATAATTCTTGCTACAGTTTGAAATGGAAGAAAATGGAAAATAGTTGATTTGTTTTCCATTTCTGATGATCACGGTTGTGTACAAGTTCAGACCCATTATTTTTATCACCTTTTGATTGATGTTACGTAATTGTTAATTGTGGTCAGATTTGTGCTATCTGAAATTGTGATGATGGAATTTTGAAATGATGACATTTCTAATATGTAATTACAATTTCATCGTTATTATTAATGCATTAATAAACTAAAGACTATAGAAAATTTAATAGTGAACTTTTTAAGTTTAGTTATTTTGTGATATTAGGCTCATTGACCCTGGGATTTCAAAATTTGGGGAGAAATATTCTTATATTTATCTAGTTGCAAGCAAAAATAGGAATTTGAAATTTGCATATATTTATTTTGTTTTTAAATAAATGTAATATTTCACTGTTTGGAGCTCTGCTTGCGCTTTGGTCTTGCAACGCCTTTTATTGAAGCCTACAAGATGCTACGTTATTAAAAGCCATATTCCTGTGAGTATTACTCATATTTCTTCTAAACGATTCTGCACCTGAATATATTTCAAAGAAAGAACTTGTGTGGCTTCTATTTAACAAGGGACTTTATTTTTCATGGTGATGAATAATTATTTTGTTCTTAACTCGCAAATAAAAGAAGTGAAAACAACAGATGCGCATGCACACGATGTTTTTCTTTTTTGTTTTCTTTTATTCTCTATTAATTGATATTGCTGTGTTTCACTATTATCAGCATGCAGCCTATCTTGCAGAGAAGGTAGGACTGAATGTGATTAATGCAGTCCTTACTGCTTTGAACAAAGCTGGTTATGACAAGTCAGGGGCACAAAAAGTTTTGATTCAGTCCTCTGATAGCTCTGTACTAAAAGAATTCAAGGGTAAACCCAATTACGAGCTTGTCTATAACATTGTTGAGAAGGTTGGTGATGCTGAAAATGCAGTTGTTGAAGAGATCAAGGGCTTTGCAGATTCTGTAGTTGTTGCAAAGTCATCTGTGTTCCCCGAGAACTCTGCCTTCCTGATTGGATCTACCAAAATTGTGCCAAAGCTGAAATCTTCTAACCTCTCTGTCTATGTAGATCATTTTGAAAATGAGTTTGTATCACAGGCCTGGGATTTCTTCTCTGATGCAACAGTGGAGATCAACTCATTTGTTCAGGGAGCTCCTATTGATGGTGTCATCACAGGCTTCCCAAAGACAGCTAATAGATACAGAAGTAAGTGCCATGGTTATGTGAATAGTTTTGTTTAAAGAAGTTTACATACAAAACTATTGACATGTACAAAAATTTGTCTCCAAATCCTAAAATTACTGGTATTGTTTGCGTTGCTTCTTTGATAGTCTATTTTTATGCGCTGTTTTTGTCATGCCCTTTTGCTGGCATGCTCTGCTTAGAATAGATGTGGACTTCATATGATATTTGGCGTTTTGGTTTGGTACACTGGTATTTCATATCACTTGATTTCTGGAACATCATGGAGTAAGATATCGATGACACAAGATGCTAAGATATCTAAGATATTCTTGTTTTCTTATTCAACGGAATTTTAGATATCGATGTTTAATTACAGATATTAGCCGTTGTTAGATCTTAAATTACCAAATATACAGTTTTAAAGAAGGGAAAAATTATTGGCCAAAAAAACAGACAAGGGAAAATTTTGTAATTTGAATTCAGCCCAAGATAATTCTGGGTGTCATCCTGTTGCGATGTGATGTGGTGTTAGATATCAAGATGTTATAAGCACATAATAGCCTACCCCAAATGTAGACATCAAATTTAATATAAAGTTTTGTGGTACGACCAAGATACTGACTGTTTTTCAGTTGGCTACCTTATTTTGTTTTTGTTTTTTTAATGGTATTATTAAGTTGATCCATTTCATTTGCTGATATGATTGTTCTCCATCCTACTGCAGGGAATCCTTGTTTGGTAGCTAAAACTACACCTGCTTACATGCAACCTGTTAAACCAGGTGATCTTATACAACTTGTTACCAAAGAATACCTGCCACCTGCTGCGGCTCCTCTCCCAGCCCTGACAGAATCTGAAGTGTCGGAAGCGCCTTTTCCTCCCATTTCAAATTCAAATACAACGGCCAACAGTCCTGCCCCTGCCTCTGGAACAGGAGCATCTCCGCCCGGCAGTGCACAGGCGAAGGTCAACATCTGCTTCTTTTTGTCCACTCTAGCTGTGCTTGTATCTTTCCTTCTGCTCCTTTGAGTCATAAGGTCTCTGAACAGCCTAAGAGAAAGCCCCAAGGGAAAGCAGAGAGAAAGAAAATGTCGTTCACACTTGTTTTGGTTCTGCATTGAGTAGCCTGAAGTTCTGCTTCAGACTGCATTAACATTCCAAGTCTCTTTCCTTCACATAAGTAAATTCTTTCCCGTGATTGTTGTAGCTAGGTCTGTTCATTGTTCATCCTACCTCTTGTGTATGAACACAATTTGTGTATTCTTTTTAGATGAGCTTTTTGTATCATTTGTTGTGAGATACTTTGTATTTATTTGTGTGTGAATCTGATGAGATAAACGTGTGAAATTTTTTATGGGAGAGTCCATTGGTTTATTGTGTCAATAGAAGCAGACATTTTCTAAAATCTAGAGAAGGCGGTTTCCTAGTAATCTTTGAATGAGCTTGCATTGTTAAATTCAATAGAAGTAATCCATTGGTTTACGCGAGACTTGGAAACCAGAAAATCTAGGGAAGGCAGTTTCTTAGTATTTTTTAAATGAACTTACATTGTTAGTCAGCTCAATCGTAAAATGGCTTTTCAAAGCAAAAATTAAGACTTTCGTTATTGTCGTTATCTATGACGATTGTGGTGTTGATTTCGTGATCGCTATTCTTGAGACTCATTTCATTAACCTAAGAACCCATTATTTGACCAATTTGACCAATTAAAGTTGGCAAGAGTGGTGGGGATTCTTGAAAAATTTTCATACCAATAAAATCTTCATTCTCATAAAATTATATTATTTTTTTCTTTTACTCCTAATCTCAATTATCAATGCATTTCATAATAAGTGAAAGATACAGTTACACAAATATCTAAATTAATAAATACAAAGGGTAAAATGATATTTTTCTTACATATACTATATTTTTTATATTTTGACTCAAGATTAATTGAGAGGAAATGTTTAAATTCTAAATCAAAGACAGCAATTTAGTTGGGAGTTGGGAGTGGTTTGTTCTATTTTTTCTCCTCAGTAGTGAGGGGAGATAATATTTGATGTTGACAAAGCGCACTCCTTGTGCTATAAACATGTGTAGATTGTTTTTTTTTTTTTTTTATATTAAATGATGAGGTCGGCATTCAATAGTTTGGAATATGGGCTAACCAGGTTGGGTTTGCTCCCATGGATTGACTGGTAAAATTTCAATTCAAACAAACTCACGAGGATCGGTGGGTTAAATAAATTAATATGCCAATTCATTTATTTTTTCATAAATTTTAAAAAATACACTTAAATGATAAATTTTAATTTGATATTCCTTTATAATTCATTCCAGATACACCAAAATATTAACTCATAATGTTTGTAAAAATATATATATATATATATATATAAGTTAAGCTAGCTAAGTAAGTCATGTCTCATAATTTATACGTACAAAATTTTTCTCTTTTTTGTTTTTTATTTTTTTAAAAAATAACATGAGTTAAACAGGATAATCCTAACCCATTGGGATTAAACGATATGGTTCATAGGTTATATAGTTTTGGTCATAAAACCCTATTTTTATTTAGGTTAATTTGTTTCCAACCCAACCTACTCTTATAACTATTACTCGAACTAATTTATAAAACACATCTCATATTCCCCACTCTATAAATCAACATTATTCCTTTTATTTGACAAAAAAGTTTGTATGCCTATTTTTTTCTTTGCATTTTTTCGGTGAAAGTTTTCTTTGTATTTAAACATAACACAAGTACTTGACTCCTTTCAAATAAGATTGATAATTAGAATTCTATCGATGGAAAACATCATGTTGTCAAAATTACCTTTAGTTGAACAAATAATACTCAAAAGTCAATCTAATCTGCTAAGACATGATTCAACTAAATACATTAAAAGATGTAAAGGATTTTTTATTTACTTTGGCAAAAAGAATTTGCTTGAATATATTTTTATTTTTTATAAATATATTTTCTTTTCAAAAAAACAACCTTAATATTTAATACCAGGTTTAGTTTATTTAAAACACTTAATCTTTTTTAATGTAAAAAACATAATTATGTCAAATTCCCGTTTCTTTTGTTATGATTTTGTTTACTATACCTACCATTGTAGAATTATAAACAACATTCTTCTTGTTTTCATTGGGATAAATTTCTAGAAAATAGAATTAATAAAAAACCAACGAAAGAGATAAGTGAAAGAAATATGTTTCAGTGGGAAAAATATAATAAAAAAAATTTATTACACGGTTCATAATAATTTCTATTTATATTTTATAAAATTTATTGTGATTTTAATCATTTTATACTTGTTAACTTGGTTTTTGCAGAAAATATAAATGCATTGGGCCTATGAGTATTGGGCTTGACTAGTTAGTCTTTGTTTGTTTGTTTTTTGACTAGTTGGTCTTCATGTTGTATGTTGTTGTGTTGTGTGTACGAGTGATATTGTATAAAGGCCCACGATTTGAAAGGGTATAATGGTTTCTTTTTGACCCAATGAAGGAACAAAATTGTATTATTTAGTGTTATGTTTAGGAAAAGAGCAACAAAAGGCCACTTACTAAAATAAATATTTATCGAGGATCAATTGACTTAAAAATTACATTGTCCCTTAATCCTTGATTGATATTAATCTATTGAGTCAAGAGATCAAATTGCTTCTAAAGCTTTTTTCTTTTTTATAAAAAAAGTGACCCCCCATCACTAGTACAAGTTGTCGAACCCTCTATCAGTGGCGAGCTCTTTGAAGCTCCTACCACTAGTGGGGTCACTAGCGGATGGTTACAAGACCTCTAACACTGGCAATATTTTTATTCAAGGAATAATTGGTTTAGATGACCAAAAGAGAGTTTAATTATACATGGCAAATACAAATAATATATATATATATATATATATATATAAAAGTAGTAAACCAAGCTTCTAACCACTTTTATATTATAAGATAATAATGTATTGTTAATTCTTGAATGACACTTGTTATTTTATTAATGTTACTTGTATTGGAAATTGTGCCCTAAGACTAACTACTGTATTGTTATTATTTAATGAATTTCTTCTTTATTATAATATTAATTACATGTTCACTATGATGACTGTATCATTAGACATACTATAGTGATTATCCTAAATGTCCCGATCGGTCATCTATAAGGAATCATAGATGAAACAAGACTAGTACAATTTTGATTAATTATAGAGATATAAATTAAAGTTTTAGACACTTGAAAGGGTTCTAGATGTTGGATAGACTTGCTATGAGAAAGTTGCATGGTATAAGTCATAAGCTTATCTCATATATAACCATGTCACTAAGCCTTTTGACCTGAGATCATCAAGGATTTCTATTTAATGACCACTGAATTTTGACCTAATCAAAATTCACCTTTAATTGAGTGATTATAAAGGCTATAGTTGAGTTTAGTGATATTCATGTAGAGGAATATGAATGGTCAAAATATAATTTATCTCTCATATTAATTGAGAGATCTTGTTGGGCCTCTCAATGAAAAAGACTAAAAAAATGTATGGTTATACTATAATGAATTTTTTTTCCCATTGTTACAGTTAGTCCACTTAGGAATTGAGAAAGCAATGGTTAGGTAAAGAAAAATGACAATTTTATGTCTCACGCTTAACCAAAATATTGCGTGACAAAAGAAATATGATATGATTATATGATAAGTTACATCTAATTATTAACCCTCATATGAATTGGGTAGTCGTAATGTCTTGCTAGAGGCCATTTATAACTTATAGGCTAATAGTAGTATTAGCCTATTGCCAACTTCATATGGGTTTATAAGGTCGTACATAAAAATAGCCCAACTTAAGTTATAATTTTCAAGTTCATTGAATTTAAAATGTATCTAGATTTAATAAATGCAATAATTTATCTAGGGTGAATAAAATATATATATATATATATATGTATATGTATATGTATATATGTATTTGAATATTTATATGATAAATATATATATATATATATAAATATATGTATATGAAATATAAAATTCAAAATATATATATTTGTGTGAGTGTGTATGCATATCTAATATATATATTATATTATATTGTGTTAGTTTTAAATTTAGCTTTATATGATAAATTAAATTTAATAACTAATATAATATGAGAAGATATCATATTAGTTCTGTAATTTGAATTTATGAGATAAATTCAAATAAGATATAATATCATAGATTTAATTTATGAGATAAATTAAATTTTATTTCATTGGCTCAAGATTTGATTTTCAAAATAATTATGATTATTTATGAAAATTTATAAGGGAAGACAAAAAGCCTAATCTTTATAATATATAGAGAAGGACATGCTTCTTAAGAAAATAGAGTTAGAAAGAGTTCTGATAGTAAAATACCTTGAGTGCCATGGAAAAACCCTAGAGAAAAGGAAAAAGATAAGTTCAAAGTTTAAAAGACGAAAGGACATTTTGGAGAGCTAGCACGTTGTAAGTGTTGAAAGCTGTTTGTGTGGATATTGGTAGAGGGAGATGATTGGTGTTGTTAGCTCTTAAGGTCTAAATGATAGAAGGAAGCTCAAAATTTTGAATTCTAAAAGGTATTCTTTTTGTCCACCTTGATTTAAATAAATTCGATCAGTCTCAATTGTGATTGGGGTTCTAAATTTGATTTTAATGTTTCCACTGTGTCCCCCAATTCAACAACTTGTTAGTTTTTTTTTGACCAAACTAACAACTTGTTAGTTTGACATAGATAACTACAAATTGAGAGTTTTAAAACTTTATATATTTTACTTGTTAAAAGTATGAATGTATTATTGTTAATCACGAATAAGTTATTGTCAAAACATAAACGAGTACTTGTTGATGAAGGGCTAATACATATAATTAAGTTTATACTATTAGTTTTTTTAACTTCTTAAAATTTGAATAGATTATTGTTAATTTTGAATGAATTGTTGTGAAAATATAAATATATACTTATTGATAAGCACTAACATTTGAACAATTAAGCCCATCTTATTCATTTTTCTAATTTGCTAAAGCTTGAATTGACATTTGTTAATTTAGAATGAATTGTTGTCAAAACTCAAATCAATACTTAATGTTAATGATTAAAAGTAACAAGCCATTTTAAACTAACAACAGTCCATTTTCAATTTTAACAAACTAGAAAAGCATATGGGATGAACATAATTTTATGTATTAATCTTTTATCAAGAAGTATCTATTTTGATTTTAACAATAACTCATTAAAAATTAACAACAGTCCATTTGGGTTTTAATAAGATAGAAAAATATATAGGATGAGCATAGTTATACGTGTTAGTCTTTTTTCAACAAGTATTCATTTAAGTTTTAACAATAATTT